CCCCAAAACCCCAAAACCCCAAAACCCCAAAACCCCAAAACCCCTATAATCTTTAATAAAATTGGGATTTATTGTATAATTTGAAAAATTTCGAGATGGAGGAAACTAAAAAGATTAGTTTTACTGATGTCACAAAGAATGCATCATCTCGACATGATCTTTCACAGCCAATCTTAACTGAAGATAATGCTCCCCAATTAGTTCAGTCAAGGAAAAGCCTTAACATAATGACAAATAGGAGATTAAGGAAGCGTTCCAGAAGGAAGAGCAAAATTCGTATTAATAACCTCTGCAAAGAGCTAAAGGTTCCTAAATAAATCTTTGATGAATGCTCATGAATTAATAAGAATTTTTGAATTATCACCAATTCAGGATATTAAGGCACTTATTAGGACAAACCAGTTAACAAGAGCTAAATCTAAAAATAAATTTAAAAAGCAGAGAAGAGTTCTTCGGAATACTAGACGAAGTGAAATGACTGCAGATATCAACCTTGAACAAGGAGTAAAGAGACTTAATGCTTCGGAGTCATCTAAAACTAGGCTAAGTAACAAAAACCGCTCTGAGTCACAGACAACAGATCAAAAGTTGTCGATAGTGCGTCAAAGAGTGCAAACAGCCAAAAGAAGAGTGAGTAGACAAGTAAGTGCAACATGTTTAGGATCTTAGACTCAGCAAACCCAGCTTAAAATGAGCCAAAGGTACAGGAACAGGCCTCTCACAGCAAAGCGTAATTTCCATCTAATATTTAGAAAATGTAAGCATGAACAAGACTAATGGAAGTCTTAATGACAGAGAGGTAAAATTAGAGACCAAGAAGTCTCTCAGTATTTTCTCCTACCAAGATTGGTCATACACAGGGCAATGGAAAGGTAAATAAAAGACATGGCCAAGGTACATGTAATTGGAACGATGGGAAAATCTACCAAGGCGAATGGAGGAATGATAAAATGCATGGCCATGGTAAATTAAAACTACCCAATGGCACTATATATGACGGTGAATTTGAGAACAATGAAGCTACTGGGAAAGGCAAGAAAATATTCCCGGACTCCTCAGTCTATAAAGGATGACTTAAAAATGGCAAAATGAATGGTCAGGGGAAACTCACAATGAGAAATGTGTCATTTGAAGGCACCTGGAAAAATGATCTACCTCGTGGAAATACGAAATAAAGTTGGGAAAAACTTCAGCCTTTCAGGAAATTTCAATGGCTATATCCAAGTTAATGGGTCTTTATGAATCAAAGAGTTTACTAAATCTCCTTCCAAAGCCTATCGATATCGTGGACAACTCAAGCAAACTCATATCGATGGTAAAGGAGAGTTCAAATGGCCTGACGGCAGACTATATTTTGGTGAATTCTTCCAAGGAGCAATGAACGGCAAGGGAAAGCTAATATGGACTGATAAATATAATGGAAAAGCCACTTATAAAGGCAACTTCCTAGTTAACCAATTTCATGGCCCTGGACTTCTAGTATGGAGCAATGGTGACATTTACGACGGTAATGGATCAGTCTTGATTGTATAGGACAGTTTTTAAACGGAACTTATCATGGATATGGAGAATTCGCATGGGCTGATGGGATCAAGAAGTATAAAGGCGAGTTCGAACATGGGAAAATGCAAGGAGTTGGTAAGTTCGATTAATTTAGGATTTGATCGATTACATTGTTTTGGATTAAATTTTTTTCTGTAAATTTTATTGACACTTTTTATTTAGGATGCCTAATAACTAATCAAGGAATTTTTAAAGGTGAATTTAAGAACGGTTACCTATCTGGGAAAGGAGCAGCTGCTTACAAAAATGGGGATGAATACACAGGAAATTTTTATAACTCAAAAATATGAGAACCTGGCAACTACAAAACCTATCAGCCCCCTACACAAAAATATGAAAACCTTAATACAAATCCGGCTCCTCTCAAAGTCCAAAACAATCCTGATCTTGAGGAAGATGTCTATCTCTAAAAACATAAGCACAAATCTAAATCTACATCAAGAGCATTTTAATACATCATATTATTCCTTCCTTATCTCAATAACATTAAAACCCCTTGGGGTTTTGGGGTTTTGGGGTTTTGGGGTTTTGGGG